CGATGAAGATGACGACGACGTAGTAGTTTGCGTATGTTGTTGCTGTTGGTGTTGCTGTTGATGAGAGGTCTGGAGTATTTGTAAAGTATGTTGTTGATGATTTGTGACAGCATTTGCCATTATTGGGGTATTAAGTGTTCCGGCATTAGGCGAAGATGAATGATGCTGATGTTGCTGGTGATCGTGGTGATGCTGATGTTCAATGGCACTGCGATTATGATGAGTATTCCATAAATCGAATGTGGGTGGTGCAGCTGGTGGTTGCGTGGAGGCGCCATATGAGCCACTTCCGCTTAAATGGGGCTGGAAAAGTGAGGAGCTCTGATGATACAAATTCGGATAAGGTGTATAACCAGAGGGAATGTCAGGTTGTTCGGTCTTTAATTGCAAATGAGGTACATTTTGTTGATTAGTTCGTGGTACAGCATTTGAGCGGACAGTAACTGCAGATGCAATTGCTGTCTTGGCGGTTTCTGGAATTGTAGGGGCCGTTGAAATCGATGATACTGTCGTTGACAAGATGGTAGACTTGACTTGAGATGTTTTCTCTTGGCCATCTGATGTCGATTTTTCTTGCTTAATGATACCGACGGTTGCAGTCGGATTTGCTTGTTCCTTGGCTTCGGCGTTTAAAGCTTTTTTGCTTTTCTTATCCTTAAAATGTGTCTTTTTGTGCTTACTAAGGTGATCACTGCGTGAAAATTTCTTCGAACAAATAGGACATGCATAAGGACGATAATTTGTATGTGTCCGTCCGTGTCGCTGTAGCTCATCAGATCGAGAAAAACGTTTATGACATGTTAAGCATAAAAATGGCCTTTCGCCAGTGTGCCAACGTAAATGGGTTTTTAAATGTGAAGCTTTCCCATAAAGACGTTCGCAACCGGGTATATGACAAATATGTTGTTTGCGACCACGTTCGTCCGGTCCTACAATCGGTGGTAAACCGGACATTTCATTCGTACAATTTGGGCAGGTGCAACGCACCGAACGACGTTGCAACTGCGTTTGAAAGGCAATATCATCAAAATTGAAACTGGTATATGTTTGACCCGACCACGGCTGATAAAGACGATCCTGATGCGAAAACCAAGCCCCAGCGGAAGCTGGCATACCCACATTACCGTAATAATCCGACGCATATTGTGCATATGGAAATTGTGTTCTATTTATGGAATGTAAGAATGTGCACACATAAATTGATATGTCATAAATATGTAGCAAACGGAAAAAGGTTTTTGCATATTTTCTTTTTTTTTTTTTTTTTTATAAAATTTTTATTTTTTTTTTAATACAAAATAGAGAAAAGGGACAACCTATGCATTTGTGTGCAAATCTGCGCACACATACATACATATATATATAATTCCTAACAGAAATTTACGAAGATACATACCTAGTAGGCAATGCAGCTGTATAAGCAGCCGTATTCCATGAATAAGCAGCACTAGCAGCAGCAGCCGCACCCAATTCGGTATGTGAGCCGGATAGGGGAGATGCCGAAGTAGCCGAAGAAGGTGGGCTCGAGGAAATCGATGCAAAAGACTGGGCGGGCGAAGGAAAAATGCTAGGCGACACGGAAGCCGACGATGGAGCTGATTGTATGCTTGAATTGGGCGAAACCGAACCCGTAGAGGATGGCTGTGGCGGATATTGCATTTCCACTTTCATTGGATTGTAACTGACTGCTGACGATGGCGATGACACCACTAGTGTCTTATTATTGTATGGCGATGTGTTAGAGACAGATGATATGAATTCGTTGCCATTGGCCAACGTAGTGACAATCGGAGGGCCAGATGTTTGTGTTGTGGTTGCAGCTAACGAAGCCGTTGCATAAGGATTTAAATAATTGCAAGCAGCATCAATCATTGTTTACGTATATATAAACATGTATGTATATACGTATATACATATATAAATATATATATATTTATATATATATATATATACACCTATATAAATGAAGGTATATATGTGTATATAATGTAAAGGATGAATATAATGAAAGTAGTTCGATGTAAAAAAAAAAAACAACAACAACAACAAAACGAATTAATTTGATTTTCTAATTAATTTACGCATAAGTGAAGGAACACTTTATATATATATATATATATATATATATGTATATATATTTCACAGCATAAAATATTTTATGCGATAATTGCTCGCATTTATGTTGTGGCCGAGGTGTTAAATTTGTAATAATTATCATTGATTTCGTAACGAATTAGGGGGTCTTTAATTGCCTTCTTCACGTGGTAAATTTCGTCTTTTTTTTTTTTTTTGATATTTTATTTTTACGTATTTGAGAACGTTTATATTTTGAATTTTTTTTTTTTTTTTTTCTTTTTTTGTTAACTGATTATTTTTCAGTAGATTTTTACTCTATGTGCACGTCATATACGTACTATAGGCGAGTATATATATTTATACACGTACAAAAAGCAAAATAGCCAGAGCACACACGCTAATTTTAGTATAATTACAATGTTGAGAAGTATTTTCTTTTTTTTTTCTTTTGTTTTTTTTTTTTTTTTTTTGTTTTTTGTTCGTTTTTATTATTTCAACTTTAGATTGCAGTATATATATATATATATATATCTATATATATATAGTATATATATATATATAGTTTAGCTCACTTAATCAGAGTCCACTACTGCAGAACAGTTTCAAAATGTGCCGAGATGATGATAATAATAAGTCCAATAATATGGCAACAGTGGCAAGTAAGCAAGCAAACAGGCAGACATCAGCAGTAGTAGTAGTTGTAATAGTAGTGTTCCAGCAGTTAAATCTTCTACACTATGTTTAAACGACAACAACGACGACGATATCCATCCACCGGTAATTATCGATGCCGACTGAATGTTAAAACGCAGCGAGAGAGTTGAACAACGTACGAAAAGCAGTTGATTTCTTCGTTCGTTTTGCCCGTAGTTCGTTGTGCTGGGTCGAATAAAATTTAGGTCCGGAGTTGCGTGGTAGTGGTACTGATGGTGGTAGTAGTGTCTATATTATTGTATTAACATAGGCGCGGTGTAAAGAGTGCAACTTTTTAGAGTGTGTACGTTTGTGTGTGTGTGTGTGTGTGTGTGTGTGTGCTTGACAAAGAGTTTTCTCTCTTTGAACGTTGCACCCTCGTTGCGGTTGAAATGTAAGAGCGACAGAGAAAGCCTCACACAAATAGATTGCGATATCACTCCAACTTGGCCGCAGGATATAAGCACCACGCGTGCTTAACAAAAATACAAAAAAAACAAAAAAAAAAACAACAAGCAAAACACCAACTACTAAGAAATACAAAAGTTTCTCTACATTGGATATAAAATCAATTTCCTTTCGTGTACCCAGAGAATATACATGTGAATACAACATATATATATATATATATATATATATACATATATATATATATTTATTTTTTGGTTTTTATTACAACAACGAGAGAATGCTGCTGTAAATTATGATTACTTGCTCGCTCTATCTCTCCTCTTTTCTCGTTCTTTCTCTCGCTTTCTAACCGGTGCCGAAGCATATAGCATATGATAAATGTAAAAAAATGTAAATAAAAAGATGCTCACGCACTTTTTGGTTAAAAACAAAAGAATTTTCAATTCTTTTTTGTTCATTGTGTGCATCTCTAAGCCATAACTAAATCTTGCTATCTTTTATTTGTTAATAATAAGAAGTTCGAGGAAAACTCACAATCAATGCATGAATCGCTTATCACTTATCATTTACTTAAAGCGATATTTAATAAAGCCTAGTATCTAAAATCCGTTTTGTCAACAATTTCAAAAACTAATCATTTTTACACAACGTCCCACGTTTGGAGATATAAGAAACAATCTTACTTAGCTGGTCGCGCCCAATGAAATAACTGTATTTAAATGGGCGTTACCAAACACCATTGCCAACCATATAGTCACACACTTTACCGTACATACTGCAGACACACTTGTGTATACAAACACAAACATACACACATATATATATATATATATATGTGTGTGAAGCGCAACGTAAACGGTCACCCCGCAGTCACAAGAAAGAATATATGAACAAGAAAAAAAAAAAAAAAAAATATATATATATATATAAGCAAAAAAAAGCAAAAAAAAAAAAACGTAACGTGGAAACTAAAGAAAATAATCTGATATGAACAGAAAGTGAGAAAACTTGCTTGAGCAAAAATACTCGTGAACAAATGGTGGTTGAATCAACTGTGCATTTATTGTATGCACAGAATCTCTCCGCAAACGAACGTAGAGCGTGCTAAAGAAAGAGAGCGCGCGCAAAAAAACAAGCGAAGCAGGGACAAATATTTTAAAGAGGCATATTATGTATGTTTAGCACGTTTCTAAAGTTTCCAGTTTCCCTCTCAACCAGACCCATTAAACGGAGTCTTGCAGAAAAATTTACGACTATTCCCTGAAGATAATGCATCTAATGGCATGTGTGTAACATGTAATGAAACGGAAGATACAATTATATCAAACAAAAAGCCATGCTTATGATGATGAGAGCGCACACGGCCAAACAAACAAACGCTCACACATATTGTATACGTATGCATAAATGTACGCTGTACGCTGTACGCTGTACGCTGTACGCTTTCAACTTACTTTTCTTTCATACTTAAGCCGAGTAAGTTTACTTTGGTTTATGGTTTATTTATATATATATATATATATATATATATCTGCCTATTCTGTACTGTAGTGCAGATTATAGGGCGTGATGTATTGGGGATCTTCTCGCAATCTTGTCTGTTTTGTTTTCTTATTTATAACCATACTGTTGCGGCTTTGGTATAGATTTATGGCGCTTTTATGGCATCATATTTACCACAGAATTCTCTCGTATAAATGAATTTCATTTACAATCCGCTTACACGTGTGTATATGGACTTAGTCTACGTAAGTAATATCTTTACAAGCTCATTTTCTCGTCAGGGTATTTGTCTGTTTGCTTCTTCTTTTATTTATTTATTTTTTTTGATTTTTTTTGATTTTTTTTTCTTTATAGTTTTTTTTTTTTTTTTTTTTTTTTTGCTAGATTGATTGTCATCAATTAAGTATGAAATGAGCTTCTATAAATGGCGTTTTATAAATCTGTGGTCTTTAAGTTTTTCAATTCCACCACCGGTTTTACTATAAATAATTGTTAATTTTTTTTTTTTTTTTTTCTTTTTTTTTGTTTTAAGCCAACACTAAATAGGGTATAGTAAATTTATTATATTTTTTGCACTTTTCATAGGCTATAATGCATTTGATAGATACACTTCTCTTTCACCAACTTTTCAAATTCTTCATAAATAACATCAAAGCTACATATTTCTTATATTCTGTACACATCACTTCATTCATTCATTCATTTTCATATTTATTGGACATTGTGGTTGGCTAAGATTTCTTAATGTCGTATACACTACAGACGATTTAGTGGTCACACGAATTGACACTTACACGAGCCCGCATTGAAAAGACTAAAATACTTATTCTCTGTACGTTCGTTCAATAACAGATAACGTTACCTGACAACTGGAAGACAATTGCAAATGCCACAAAATGGAATGATACTAAAAAACCGTACATGATTCTTCAGATATGAGAAAATGAATTAAGTGAATTTTTATATACAAACGATCCTTTTAATTAATTAATTTCCTCGCGAGAATAGCTCCGGTACTGCCATATTTTCACATTTTTCGCAAAACTATTTTTATTATTTATTTTTTAACATCACCCATCTATATACGACTAACAACGTGCCAGACTTACCTTCTCTACAAGGAAAATGATTAAAAGCCTCTTTTTTTTAAACGATGCTATAGTTATTATAGTTAGGTCTTAAGATCTCACGCTAATTATACTTTTGCTCGGAATTTGAATTCGAAAGCTTGCATTTTGTTTTGTTTGCATACAATACTCCCAAGCATTGCAATTCGGAACAGTAAACCTTAGCTGCCAATAGGCTTCATGTCTTTTCCTTTCCTTTCTTTATTCCTGCTATCACCTATAGTCCAGGCAGATATTCAAAATTTGTTTCGACTTTCTGTGTTCAAATTTTCTATGCTATATGTATTTTCATTGCATGCTTTTTAACAAATTAAATCTCCTATCACTACCTGCATCATTAGGAGAAACAAATAGTTTTTATTACCCACCGAACAGCAGAGAACATGCAACTTTCTCCTGATTAGAATCGCATTCATCTTATCCTCGATTTTGCTCTTTTTGTATTTCATAAAGCGATAAAAAGATGAAACGGAGACCAAATGCCTTCGATAAGGTAACAAAACATTTTTTCTTACTCCAAGGCAAGTAGAAATGTATGGAACCAAAAGAAAACTACGCCACTTCAAATTTATAAAACTGAATATCTGTTTCATCAGCTCAATGCATACGACGTTTACTGGAATGATTGATCGTTCATTTTCGGCACTCGTTGTGTGTATGAGCTGGCGCAATGAATGCTGAACAAATGAAGACAATACCACACCCAGCACTTTAAATCGTTTTACAAAGGCTCCTAAATATATTCTGTTTTTTGCAATTCGTTTCCAAAGCTTTCTAATTGTAAATCTATACTTATTGAGGTTGTAATGTATCATTTTTTTTTTTTTTTTTTTTTTTTATATAATATATGTATGTGGGGCAACCGCAGTAAATTTTACACTGAGATTTCTGCAATACTCTCTAAATTATTGAGGACGTAAATATGAAAGCGGAATTTTCACATAGATAGCCCATAACACCACGTTTCGTGAACATACATTTCTGAAATTGTATTATTTTTTTTATAAGTTGGAAATGTGGCCACAATAACAGTAACACAAGTAACACTAACCACATATCGCACTTTCTAACAAATGAAAATCTCAAGCTATCTACTAAAATAAGAA